TTTGGTGCCTGGGCAGCCCATTGAGAAGTTACTTGTGCCTGCCCAGTTTTTTCTTTGGTGGTTTAGGTTTCATCTGTTTTGATTTGATAAGAGAGAGGTGGATATAAGAAGGAACTTGTGAAACAAATTAGTGTGACACAACATAGTAGGATTTGAGGTTTTCATGGCAGTGAGTCTGAAGACTACACAGTGCAACAGCCCAGAAGACAGCCTGATATATCATACTTTGAGATAGAAAACACTTAAAGAACATATCCAAAGAATAAACTATACCGCAGTAGACGTAATCTCACACATAATTACATTATTAGTATTTATTTAGCAGTTGTACAATATCTTTAGGAATATATATATATATATATATATATATTCCGTGTTACGTCACGTATATTGGGGGATAATTATTCTGTAGCAGTGGAAGTAAGTTGAGGCAGTTCGATTTATTTCTGAAGATACTTAACTAAAGACTATTAAAGAAGCAGATAAAGTGGCTTAGCAGGGCAGAATCAATGACACTCATAATGCTTCTTCGGGGCTACGCCCCACCCCCCTTCAAGAACCAGTCTCGGAACCTAAAGTGGAGTTGTTTGCTTTAAAGCAACTTTGCCGTTTATAAACAGGCAGACAGGTTGAAGGTTGCTTGAACCGAACTTACAAAAGTGCATCTTCGACGCAGAGGCCTTCTTCAGAAGCTGATAGTCGCTTAGACGTCAGGAAATTCCTCGCCTCATATGGAATCGCGAGGTTCAATACTCTGTCCACAAATGACAGATGAATCCAAAAGCAAACGATAGAACTTCCATTTTAATATTATCCTCCTGTTGGTTAAAATGAGTATTAATGCTCTCTACATGTCCCACCCAACGCAAGAGCTGATGCAACAAGAAATATATTCACCGCTGTGATAACCTAAAATCTTACTAGGGAACGCCTGAAGATATCAGTCGCTGGGGCGGAGTCCCCCTGTCTTCAACGACGCTGTAAACAGAAACGAACAGATTTCAGGAAGTTTAGTGACGAAGGAAGAATTGTTTTTAATCGCATCAACTGATTCGGTTACCTGCGTCCTTAATGTTTCTGAAGTTAAGACACAAGACAGAAAAGTCTCTGAACCACTCCACTGTATGGAGGTGAGCGGACAGGTTCACGCTGCGGCCGCATTGCCACCTGGACAGAGAGTCGTACGCATCCCAAAATCGATCCTGACAGCCGGAAATGAACACATTTTTTCCATATCGATAATCGATCATCAGTCCTTTAGTCCGTGTCCCGAGGCAAGATATGGAGATACTGAGGAAAATTAAGAAGGAAGCGACTAGAACTTGTAACCTAACCTAACCTAACCTAAAATAACCTAACCCAACTTAACCTAATGTAACCTAACCTATTCTAACCTAACCTCACCTAACCTAACGTAACCTAACTTAACCTAACCTAATCTAAAATAATCTAACCTAACCCAACTTAACCTAATGTAACCTAACCTAACCGAACCTAACTTAACCTAATGTAACCTAACCTAACCGAACCTAACTTAACCTAATGTAACCTAACCTAACCGAACCTAACTTAACCTAATGTAACCTAACCTAACCGAACCTAACTTAACCTAATGTAACCTAACCTAACCGAACCTAACTTAACCTAATGTAACCTAACCTAACCGAACCTAACTTAACCTAATGTAACCTAACCTAACCGAACCTAACTTAACCTAATGTAACCTAACCTAACCGAACCTAACTTAACCTAATGTAACCTAACCTAACCGAACCTAACTTAACCTAATGTAACCTAACCTAACCGAACCTAACTTAACCTAATGTAACCTAACCTAACCGAACCTAACTTAACCTAATGTAACCTAACCTAACCGAACCTAACTTAACCTAATGTAACCTAACCTAACCGAACCTAACTTAACCTAATGTAACCTAACCTAACCGAACCTAACTTAACCTAATGTAACCTAACCTAACCGAACCTAACTTAACCTAATGTAACCTAACCTAACCGAACCTAACTTAACCTAATGTAACCTAACCTAACCGAACCTAACTTAACCTAATGTAACCTAACCTAACCGAACCTAACTTAACCTAATGTAACCTAACCTAACCGAACCTAACTTAACCTAATGTAACCTAACCTAATCTAACCTAACCTAACCTCACCCCCGCCGGCCCACGGTCAAGAAACCGTCTTACGGCGCTCTTGTTCATCATGAAACAAGAGTCAACGAGTCTATTTGTTCTACCTGGAAACCAGAAATAGCGAACTGAAGACGAATTGTGGCTCCACTGTCATTAAAGGCTGTTTTTGTGTCAAAGAACGCAAAAGACGAGTGTCGGTACACACGCACCCACCACGGAGCACGGATGTTTGGCGGCGACAATTGGAACTAGCGACTTCCCCGTACTATTTAATTGGCCAGACACAGACATCAGCGCCATTACACACAACCACTGACCTTTGACGGGATATAAAACCTGGTTAAGGGGTGGGGGTGGGGGACC